GGAATATGCCCTGTTTTGTCTCTCTGATCTTTCATGTATTAAGAAAGAAAACTGGGTGGGAATCTGGTGCTGTGACTGCTTTATTTGTCCTTCGGTTCTGTGACTATCACAGAAAAAAAAGGTGTGGCTTTTCATGTAGGATGTGATTATCCGTGGTGGCTGAGGTTTGCTGCTGCCAGCGAGGCTGGGCCGGTCCTTCTGCCTCCTCTGTATCTGTGGTGCTCAGCCCACACGTTGGCAGTCCACCTATTCCTGCTACAGCTGAGTATAAACCAGCAAAAATAAGTTAAATAAAGAATGGACAAGGAGAATTTTTTGTCATTTTAGTGAGAAAAGAATACTCTCCACTATTGTGTGGCATCTCCAGAGCATCAGGAAATTTTAATAGTTCATCCTTTTGATATTCATGGTGAAGATGCCTACAGAGCAGTAGGAATAGTTAGCTGTACTAGTAGGGCTTTTCCATTACTTCAGGCCTGTGGAATATTTACACTTTAAAAAGTTACGATATTTAAAACATATTTACTCCAAATTTGTGCTGCTTTGCAGCTTTTCCGTGCTCTGATTGCAAGAGCAGAAGCAGAACTAGCCACGGGATTTAAATGAAAGGTTTGCCTTTTCCAAGGGAACTCACTTTTCATTTCAGTCAAATTTTGGACATGGTTTTCCCAATGAATTGGAACGAAATACCAACAAAAATCCTCTCTGGCCAGCTCCAATAGTAAGTGCAAAAATAGAGCTGTTAACACGATGCATGGTAGCTTTGAGAGCAACAACCATTTCCTTTTTGTGTAATATTACAAGAAACCAAACACTGAGTGTTTTGAATGACCTGACACTTTTTTTACACTTCATAACACTTTTTACACATGAGGTCATCCTACATTATTGCTTTAAGGCAGAAAAATATCATTTCCTGACGTGACAATGAACATAATCAAGTTCTTTACAGTTCTGCCAGGGCTGGTAAGGAGCCCAGATCACAATATCAGAAGTCTTGGCTTTTTAACCAAGCTCACTGATCAGAGCACAAAACACACTGATTGTGCTCTTTAATCACAGCAACGAGTCGTTTTGGAGTGGGATATAAAGCCCGGGGTCTTGATGGGAGGGGGCCAGTTGGGGGTTGTCACTTTGTGTCTGGAAGCAGTGACCCATGTGTGTTTATTGGGTCAGAGTTCTGCTTCCCCGAGCAGTGTCTGCAGCCCCCGGGAGCCGTGCAGGAGCTGCAACAAGCCTGGGGAAGGTGGTGGCTTCATCTCCTACTGTGGGGGCTCAGCAGGCTTCAGGCTCCTGCCTTCCATGGGTCTCTGCTGGATTTTGAGGAAGGAAGCTTGTACTAGGATAATTACACTGAGATGATTGAATATCAGCTCTGCTTCCTCAAGGATCGAACAATAAATGACTTTATTGTGCTTTTATACTCTTTGGTATTTGTATTATCGGTTTCAGTAAAATTTATATTGAATCGTAGAGAGAAGCCAATTATTCCTTTCTGTTGTTGTTTTGCAAGAAGCCCTTCTTCTGTTCCTTAGATGCTTCTTGCCAAGGCATGATTATTTTCTTAAATTAGCAAAATGCTAATTTTAATTGCAAAGTGCAATTAAAAACTACTTTGCATATGTGTGGGGAAGTTCAGGAAAAATATTGGGGCTCTTGTACCATGTGCTTGACTGCAATATTTAAACTAGTCATCACTGGTCCAGCCATTCTCGTACAATATTTTCTAAGCTCTGCCATTCAAATCAAAATAAATCAATACTAGAGATTAATAGTGGAACAGAAGCAGTTTACAGCTCTTGGGTCATTCTGCAATAGCAAGATGACCAGAGCTGTCTGGAACACTTGTGTAGTGACTTCGTATGCCATTTAAATGTATTGTTGTGTTTCTTTCATTCTTTTTAAAAAATACTTCACACCTGTATTGGTTCCTTGTAAATACTTAGCATTATTAAAACCAGTGTTTTTCTCTCATCATTTAGTGCAGTCTGAGATCAAAGCTGCACAATCTCAGTTACTGGGGCACAATACAGTGTGTTGGCAAACACGTTGGAACAATTTCCAGTAATTTTGGCTAAGTCTTAGAGGAAGTGGAAAGTAACACAGATTTACTGAAAGGGCTACACATTCCCTTACATGATCTGGAAAACAAGACTTCACAGCAGAAGGTAATTGCAGTGAGCATCCAATAACAAAACCTGAAATTTAATGTTCTTTTCCCCTCTTGCTGTGGTAAGAAAAAAATTTTGCCTTATATGTATTAGTCTCCACTGCAGATACTATGATTTTGTTCTAAACAAGCTTATATATCACAGCAGAGAAGTAAAACTCTCTTCATGTTACATAAATTGCTTGGTCTCACCAAATGGCATTTTTTCCTCTGAACAACCTCAGAGTTCATAAAATTTTGATAACATCTTGGAAATCGCTTAGAGAGCCGAGTTATTTACATTATTTGAAGAAACAACACATTTTAGCGCTGGAGAATCGCGAGGGCGGAGTCAGCCCTTGTTTATGGAGTTTGGCTTTCCTGTGTCCCCAGGGGGCGATTCCCGGATTCCCGGTGCCGTGTCCCTCCTTGTTTTCCCTGCAGCGGGGCCTGGGCCGGGTTCTGGTTCTGCTTCTGGCGGGGCTGGCTCGCCTCGGCCGCGCCTGCCCGTGCGAGAAGCTCGCGGCGTTCCGTGGGCAGCCCTGGCCACGGAGCAGGAATGTTTTACTATTGTGTTACTGGGCACTGATAAAAGTTCGCAGGCTTTTTATGGTCAGGTCCTCCAAGTGGCACTTGGTGTTTTGGTGATAAGGAGGCAGAGCTCTGGCTGTCAGACCCAGCCTTATTATCTGTGACAGGGAACTGTGGCTGAAATCCCTCCACAATGACAGGAACCCCATCTGGAGTGACGGTTTCCAGAACCTGAAACGGGAGATACTGAGGCATTTTCCTTCCTCATGAGTCAAAGCAGAGTTAACTCCATTGTTAGCAAAAATGACATGCAGTCACTGAGAGGAAGGAGGCATTTTTATATTTAAATCTCTTCCTTTTTGTTTAAGTCGGAGGATACGTTCGGGGGGATGAACTGGCAGAATTACGCTTTTAAAAGCTTTCACTGGATTGCTTTAGACTGTTGAAAGGAGCTCTGCTGAACCTCCCTTGCTGCAAGACTTCAATTGCCTCAGCGTGTTTATCACGGGAGCTGCACTCTGTGTGTGCACGTCTTGCAAACCCTTTCTTTGCAGAGCCTCAGAGCAGCTCTGTAATCGTGTCCCGGACGCCGAGCGCACATAAAGACATTTGGGTTCTATTTCCAGAGCGCCCCGGGCTGCAGGGGTTAAGTGTAATCCCGATTACACAGCGTTAACATTTTCCCTGCTGATATCAAAGTGTAGCAGACTGGCAGGCTGACTTGTTAGGAAGGGCTGCGAGAGGGATAACAGGCTCTGACCTTGAGAGGCCGAGGCCGGCCCTTGTATGGCCAAGTCCATTTATGTGTCCAGCTGATTGGTTGGAGGAGCAGCATCGGAGCCGTGACAGGTGCTGGAGGAGCCTACACCTGTTTTCCCCATATGCTGATTTAGTGATTACATTTTTGTGGGAGTTCCAGATACTGTGTGGGATACGCAGAGCAAGCCAGGAAACTTGAGAAGGAATTGCAGCTTATGGTGAACTGTGATATTAAAGAATTTCAGGCGACGAATTGGATTTTCAATTCCTGTTTTCAAGCTGCGGTAGAAATAAGCAGGATTTTGCATATATATGAATAGTGAGGAAATCGTGTGTACTTTTTATTGTACTAAAAATCAGTTGGCAGTAAAAAAATGCTGGTGAATACTATGAGCTAAAATATTTTGTTTTGTAAATCAGAATTTCAGTGCGTAATGTAATTTGCTTCTATAGGAAAACATGGGGGGTTTTTATGGTGCTGGAAACATCGGCTTGCAGATTTCTGATCTTCACGGGTTTTAATGTAAAATTCATGGAATATAGATAATTTCTGAAAAAGGGAAGTATGCAACTCCCTTGTGCCTGTGTAGTCCTACTGCTGCTTTATGTACAGATAACATGTATCTGTTTAAAATTTTTATTGCTTTCCTTTTGAAAATTCTTTTAGAAACATTAAAGATTTTTCCACGGGTACTGTTTTAAATACTTTTTTGCTATAAATTAGAGCTTGCAGAGAGAAATTTCTGATTGTGTAATAGGGTGAAAAAGAAAAACAAGAAATACAAATATATCTTGTAATTTGGTCATGAGACCTGTAGTTTCACATCCTTTCTTTAATGGCTGGATTGTAGACAAGCTTGCTTTTTTTTTTTTTCCAGGGGATGTTGTTGTGAGTTCTCCATCAGAAAACAGGAAGTAGCTCCATAAAGTTAGTCTGAAGGACACTGAAAAAGCTTATATTTAGCAAACTAAGTCATTTTAGAGAGGGATTATGTAATTTCTTTTTTGCAGTTCTTGTTATCGTGCAGGATGACAGAAGTGCAGGAAGATCCTGTCTATCAATTACTGAGACTGTTACAGATATTAATGTCCTGCAGTTATTTAACTGGATCAAAAATTTTAGCCACTGTGTTTGTCAGAATATAACTGTATGCTCTTTAAAATGTGAATATTAAAATTGGGATGCTAAAATTAATTCATTAAAGGTCCAGTAAACTGGCTTTTAATTACCAGTGAATACATGAGCTCCTTTGCCACAGGCTTGAATGTTCCTTGTCAGAAAACTTCACTCCATCAGCCAATGTCTAAAAACGATTTTGCATGCAATGCTGGGGAGATGAAGTGGTTGTAGGGGGAATTTTTCTGTGAGATGGCACCTGGGTGAACCTTTTCTCTTTGTGTACTTTGCTACTGTCGTGAAAGACTGATTCTGTCTGTTACACAGTGAGTTTTGTCTGTGAAAGTTTAATGTAGTTTCAGGGGCTCTGAATGATTCAGTAGTGTACAAAACTTCTTGGCAAGTTAGTATGATTTGTATGTGAATTTTCCAATTGTATTTCAGACCTTAAGAAAGAAAGGCCTTAATGGTTGTGAGAGCCCTGATGCTGACGATTACTTTGAGCACAGTCCACTATCGGAGGACAGATTCAGCAAACTAAATGAAGATAGTGATTTTATTTTCAAGCGAGGCCCTGTAAGTACTTTTATTTTATCTCTACTTTTTATTTGTTGATCCTTTTTATTAACTTCATTATTTAGGCTCTGAACAAGAAGGAACACAGAGGGTGCGACAGCCCGGACCCTGACACTTCATATGTGCTCACGCCACATACAGAAGAAAAATATAAAAAAATTAATGAAGAGTTTGATAATATGATGAGGAATCATAAAATCGCAGTGAGTACTAAAGTATGGTTTGTGCTTCTCTTACGTGCATGAGAATTTTCATGGTGTTTGCTTAGCACTGAAAACCACTTCAAAGACAAGAGGATGTAATGGCTTGAGAGGGAAAAGTACTTCTGAGGAAAAATGAGATTGTGATACCTGGTCTTATTAAAAGACATTTTACTGTAAAGAATAAGAAGAATCATCTCTAGCCTCGGTTTTGCACTCCCAATTTTTCATACCTTTGGAACACAAGACAACATTTCAAAATTTCAGGAGCCTACTGCATTACCTAATCCTGCCTAAAATATATTTACCAAGATAGGTTTTTGTTGTGGGATGTCAGATCATTTATTTAGATCTTGTAAGTCTTCATCTGTCTGGTGATCAAGATTTTACCGTATGTGACAAGCAGGCAAATAGAATTACATTAATTTTGTCTATCTATATATAAAATCTATTCTATATATATATATCTATATATAATGTCTAACCAGTAGAATTTATGTTGCTCAAGTCTGGATGTAGAAAGTTATTTAGATATTTAAAATCAAGGCTGCTGCACAATGAGAGTCTCAAAAGATTGCCCCTGCTGAAGTTCCAGTAGATACTTCCTTGGACTCTGGAAGATATTTGAGTATTTTCTCCCAAGTGCCAACCCAGTGTGCAGCCATAAGTCACTTGGCTCCAGAACTTCAGTTTGGGGATAAAAGGAGTGGAAGTGTTGGATGTTTTTTTGTGGAGGTGTTCATGATGACATTTAATTTCCACCTACAAAATCAGTTAGTGTTGAGTATTACTAAGTATTTTCTAAGAAAACTAATACAGGGTTCTGCTACAGCCTTTGAATTTTTTAAGAATGCAAATCTTGTAGCAATTGAAAGAGATGGACTGGATGGGTTAATCTGCAGACACCCCGGGGCACTTGAGTAGTGTCTCCAAATGACTGCTGATACTGGAAATCATTTCATCATTCAGAGCATAAAAGATCTCTGGGGGCTGAGCAGCAAACTGACAGTCAGGACACCCAGCATCACTTCTGTTAGCACTTTATGCTTTGAATAAAGCCAATATATTTTTATATATATTTTATATATATTTATAGATTTTGATATCCGACATTTCTGTGTTGAGACATCTTCAGGCCTCATCTCTCAGTGTGTTACAGCTAAATGGGTTTTTGGTGAACAGCCTAAATGTCTGTGTGGACATAAGTGTAAATAAAAAGGGCAACATTATGTTTTAGCTCTGCAACTCTGTATTTGAAACTCAAATTTGACCAATTATGTTTCTGTTTCCAGTACTTCTGGGGCTGTGTAAGAACACAGTTCTCTGTTCTCGAGCACTCATTGCTGTCAAAGGATAGGAATGAGGCAAAGCGTGAAGAATTCGCTCGTAACCAAATGAGCACCATAGATGGGCAGAGACAGCCTTTATTATAAGGTGTGGGGAGAGGCTGTCACTTATTGGTTCTCTATTGAGAAACCTACAGAAAAAATGTCCCAGCTCTTACATCCTAGCAGTGTGTTCAGCATGCTTTCAGGTATTTCCAGTTTACTTTGAGCTTCTTGACAGTGTGCTGTGTAAAACACCCTGGTTTTGGTAGACACTGAGTAGTTTCAAGTAGTTTCCCCTGAAAACAAGCACCAGTAGGGCTTGTCATTGGTTAGATATTGTGAATGATTTGCTAGCTTTGTGTTGTTCTGCTTCATTACTTTTTCCTTCCACCTGTGCCAAAAATTGATGATTATTCTTAGAATGCTTCAGTAGGGACATTGTTGTTGGCTCCCACTAGTAAGAGATTTTGTTTCTTGTAGAGAATATGTTCTGCTCTTTTAATTAGTATACTTATTGTTACATTTCTTGTTTATCTAACTTCTCATGCAGAAGTGTTATTCTAAGGGATTTTTAAGCTACGCATGATGAAATTGCATTTTTTAAAGTGTACTTGCTAGGTCATGTGTTGGTCATCTGCCTTTGACCTCTTAATCACAACTATCACCTCTCTATTCTGTCAATACATACTACTGGGTTTTTGCTCTTAAATTGTACCTGTCATGGTTTTGTTTCCAGTAATTATGAGAGTTGTGAAAAAAAATAGTCCCTTTTGTTTCAGAAACCCATCACTGTCAAAGGATAGGAATGAGACAAAGGCCAAAGAAGTTAGTCATGACCAAATGAGTACCATAGATGGGCAGGCAGCTCAGCTTTTGATTCAATAGCTGTTGAATAACAAACATATATACTGCATAAAAACAGTTGCCTTTTAAATAATGCTGTAAAAACTAGAATTAAAAAATTTATTTTTGCAAAAAAGACAGAGTGCTTATTCAAGCAGGGGTATGGGGAACCTGAAATGTTTAAATTAAAATTATTGAACTTTGTGGTTTTCTAAAGATCTGTTTATTTTTTTAGTCTGTTGAAAAACAAAGTCTTAGAGATTAGTAGCAATATATTGGTAAAGTTATTATTAGAAAATGTTATTACTAACTTGTTCTTTTTTGTGTGATAACTGTTTGTAACGTGCATGTTTATGCTTACATTTTGAAGGTTCAACAATTCACTGATATGTAGACCTGTTTAGCTTGTCATTGCTTTGTAATAATCCAAATTAACTGTTAAATTTTTTGTATTTTTGAGCTTGTGAATTCATATGAATACTTTCAGTTTTCTCTGTTTGAACTTTACATATTTGCGAAGTTTGAGTAATTCTTTGGAACTGTAATTATGTGATGTATAAGAATTTTAACACCATATTTTACAACAAATGGATGTTTTAAAACTGTGTGCTTAGTAGAGTTTAAAAACTAACAGAATTAACTTTAATAAAAACCAACAAACTGCTGTAACTGAGAATTTTTCTAATGTGCAGTTTCTGCAAACACAGTTGATGCTAACAGCGTTGTCTTCTTGTTCCTCATCTTCTCTCCCGCAGCCCGGCTTGCCTGCCCAGAACTTCTCCATGTCGGTGACGGTTCCAGTGTCCAATCCCAACACTTTAACCTACAGCAACCCAGGGAGCTCCCTGGTGTCCCCATCCCTGGCTGCCAGCTCCTCGCTCACGGACACGACCATGCTGTCCCCGCCCCAGAGCGCCCTGCACCGCAACGTGTCCCCTGGGGCACCGCAGAGACCGCCCAGCGCCGGCAACGCAGGTGAGCTCTGCTGCTGCTGCTGCTGCCCCTGCTGCTGCTGCCCCTCCCTTCCACAGCCCGGCCATCGCCTGGCAGACTCCACCAAAACCCTCCCAAGTCACAAGTTCTCTGTGCTTTCAGTGCACTTGTACAGCTGAAGTTTTTATGTAAAGAATTACACAATACTGTAATCGAGCAAGTCAGTTTAATGCTCTGGCTTATTTTGATTAGGTGGAATGCTGGGGACAACTGATCTCTCAGTGCCAAATGGAGCTGGTACCAGTCCAGTGGGTAAGTGCAGTATCATGTATTTGTTATAAAAAATAGTCTTGTGGTTTCAGTTTCTCAGTTATTCAAAAGCAATTTTTTATTTTGACTCTTTGGAAAAAGTGGCTGTGGCAGAACAAAGGTCGTAATTTTTTTAGCTGCAGTGCAATTGTCAAAGTTTTATAAATTATTATCAGGCATTTAACTTTTTACTGCTGTGCCCTTTCTACTTCAGTAATTTTTGCTTTTTTTTTGGTGGTTTTCAGTAGTAGCATGCTGCTGCTGCTTTTGTGTTTCTCTACAGGTGTAATTACAGTATTCTAAAAACATCCTGTGTTTGCCAAATGTGAACTATTGCACTAAAGGCAACTCAGCTCAGTTCTCAACTTCAGTATTTGCAGGACCTTGATATTTGATGCTGGCTGTGGTGCCAATCAGAATGAAGCAAATACAGACTGTATTGTTTGTATTGCCATGTGTATCTTGCTAATCATTTTCTAGCAATTACATGAAGAAAGCAATGAGTCTTGGAAAGTGATAGCTAGGATCTGTCTTAGTTTTGGATGATTATCAGAATTTCTTCTGAAAACAAATTAGAGATATTGCCAGAAACCAAATCCACAGTATTTTTTGGCCTTCAGTAAAAATATATGATAGCACTTTTTCATTTCAATAATATTTTGTCTCCCCTAAACAAAATTTAGCACTCTGATAGGGGGCAGGCAGCCACTGAAATGTGTCGTGCCACAGACAGACAAAATAAATGACAGCTCACCCACTTTGGTCACGTTCCTCTGTGCCACTGGAAGTCGTGCTGGCTGAAGGTCAGTTTTGCAAACACACCTAACTCCTCTTGGGAAGTGTTCATAGCCTGGAATTAGAGAAGCAACTGTTGACCTTTCAGTGTTTGCCCACTGGCTACTTCATGTGGCAGCTGGGAAAAAGTTCTTAGAACATCAAGTCAGGCAGTTGAATTGATGAATAAAAAATGCTGCAGCGTTCCAAGGCTGAAAGCACAGGATTGACTTTCCACTCTTTATCCATTCCTTGGCTATGTGCAGCACAGATATGAAATATTAAAGAGTGGTTTCCATCAGGTAAGCAAGATTTTAAATGGAGGAAACTTCCTCAGTTGATAAAAGATGGCTATTTTTAGAAACTGTAGAGGTCAGATGTTGATTTCCATAGAATTTTTCAAGTCAGACTAAGTAAGTTTATTATCAGGCTGTTTCAGGCCTCTTTTCACAAATCAGGCTTTATTAAGAGCAGCTTCAGATTTAAGACTCCTTCCTTCAATAAGCAAATAAAACAGTGGTTACAGTGCTTGCTATAGAGTATCAAACTCTAGAAATGCCCAGTTACAGCAGCTTGGGGAACATATTTAATGCAGTAAAATGTTTTCCTCCTTGCATTTATTAATAGTTTATGTAAAAAGTCAAAATGCATCACTTATCTCTTACTTTGCAGAACATCACACCCAAGATGTTATACATATACCCACTCACTTCTAGAAAGGTTTGTCATGCAAGTGAGAGTTGTGACTGTACAAGAACAGGGGAACATCTTTAAGTACCTCTAGTGAAACTCAAATACCTGGTTAACACCAGAATGCTAAATCAGAGGGGTACCCGGAGTTGTCAGAGCTCCACTTGCTGTGAGTTCTGGCATAAAAACTTTGTAACTGCTGACAGGTGCACAAGAACCTTCTCAGTTACAACCACAATCAAGAAATCATACGTAACCAGATTGACTAAATCTGCTGTCAACTTGAGCTTGACAGCTGCTCTTGAAATGTATCTCATGTTAATTATGTCTGCAGACAATAATGGTTTTAGTTTCTTGCTGCATTTATTGTAGAATTCACTTTTAAAAAATCTTATTTTCTTCTTTTAGCTTCCAGGTTTTTTTTTTAAACTTCTCAGGAATGGAGAATTCTCCTATGGATGTAGTGAAAGGTCACGTGCCAAATTTGCAGCTCACAATTTATAGGAGTGATGTCAGAGGTAAAGATGGGGAGTATTGGCATATCCATATTCACAGATACTTTCTTATAATTAAATAAAGGAAAAACCCATCTTCTTCAATATTATGAAGTACTTGTGCATCTGAGATTCTGTTCTCATTTCCTTGAAAGACACTTACATGCCTTTATCTCTTCCTAACAAGCAAGTAAAGGTTATCTTGCTTATTTGGGACCCAGTTCAAACAAAGATGTTGCATAAAATGGCTCATATTGAGTTCACATGAGTTTTTTTCTCAAGTCCTGTGTAACTTGATTGGAATGGAAATGATTTGCTTTAGCAGTCAATCTGCCAACTTAACAGTTTTTCTGTGGAAAATAACTTTGAGTAAAAATATCTGCGTGTTGTAGCAAAGATTGGTAGGTGGTTTTTTATATCCAGAACAGAAAATTTTGTGATCACTTTATAATACTGAGAGCTTACTTCACATGCAGCTGTCATAACTCTGAAAAAGCATTTTCATTTTGTAATATTTTTAAAATTCTACCCACCACATAAAAAACATTTGCTGAAAATTTTTACTTGGCAAATATACCCGTTTTGAGAGGGAAAAAATGTCCAGCATTATAATGGAGTTTGCTCTAGAGCTAATTTATTTTTTCTGTTAATTAGATCAAATGTTTCTGAGCTAGAACATTGATGATCTTGTTGCTTCTGGTCAATGTTAAACCCTGTTCAATTTGTGATGGGCATCAGACGTGCTCCAGGAGTTTCATATGACCAGGATGTGGAGAGCACCTCAGGCAAAGCCCAGATACAGGGGAGAGTTTCTTTGGCTTAGGACTGGATGGATGGATGGATGGATGGATGGATGGATGGATGGATGGATGGATGGATGGATGGATGGATGGATGACATTCCAGTTTGCCATGAGTTCTGCTTTGCTATGTTCTAGTTGATTGGAATCATCCCATGAATCATCCACAAGTTGCCAGTGAAACACATTTGCAGTGACCTTGTGCCGTCCTTGAGGACTCTGAGAATCAGCAAAGCTCAGAAATATCACCAGAGTTACTCAATCTCTACTTTTTCTTCCACACCTTTCACGTGTGGCATTGAGCCAGAACCATGTCAGCGACCTGAGCTGGTTTTCATTGCCAAGGCTGCATAAAAACAAAGGAGCTTAAGACCTGAGTTCTTCCCAGTCCCAGGGAATTCTTAAGGAATTTTTGGAAGTGGAGGCTGTTTCTGATTTCACAAAGACACAGTATTTTCTGTCAGTACATTTCTATGTCAGTGAAATAGCCCTTCTGGTCAATAATGCAGATTATGGACACAGTTATCTTCTGGAAAAGAAGAAAAAAAAGAAAAAGACATTGTCTTTCCTCTTACATTTTTACTATCAGGAGAACGGATAAAACAGACCTGGTCTGCCTGGGTACTGAATTACTCCTCTTTGTTCCAGAGCTGTATCTTCTCTAATGTCCTCACTAATCTTCAGCTTCTGAGAATGTGAAATAACCTCAGGAATACTGGTTTTCTTTGGAGCAGAAGTGAGGGGTATATCTGCTGTCTTGTGAGCTGTTGGATCTCTGCTAAGAGTCAGTATAGATCATGTGTGGTCTCTTATCCTGGCCCGAGGAGGGATTTTGCAGAGGTGCCACTGACAGCTTGCACACACCTGTAAAAAGTGCTTGGAGTTGCCAGAAAGGGATCAAGACAAAACTGTGAATAGCCACACCTGTAAATGGTTCCCTTTGTCTTGAGGGCTTGGCTGATGTGTGGATGTGTGTGAGGATAAAAGAATCTCTGAGCTTGGTTTTGCACAAGTCTGAATCTGCTGCGATCTGGAGTGCACCAGAGGCTTCAATAACAGAAAGGCTCTCTCTGCCTTTCTAGTCGTGTTTGCTTTGTGAAATGAGAGACACCCCAGCAGGAGTATCCAACTGACTCCTGAAAAACACCTCTTGCAGTTTCAGGCAAATGTTCTGCATTGATGCTATCAGCCTCTTCCTTAAGAAAGCAGCTTTCTTGTGCCTCTACCCCACTCTGACATTTACATCATGTCCCCTTGCATCAGCTACAAGCCTTGGCCCTGTGGGAGAGGACCACCTTAGGAAAGCAGCTGTAAATAAACCCTGAGCATGTTCCTACTTCAGGCTGTGCACTCCTGGTGGTATTTCAGATCTGTGCTTCCTCTGCAGTGTGACAGGCAGGATCAGTCCCTGGTAGTCTCCCCCTGGTCAGAGCTCCTCACTTCCCAGCTGTATGGAAAGGGATCTGACTTCAGAATGTTTGTTCACCTGCTGCTAAACACAGCACACAAAGGTTCCTGCTGTGCTGGCAGTAGTGTCAGTGGCTTGCCTTGCTCTGATCTCTGAGAGGACACAGGTCAGTACAACAGTCAGGGCTTCACCTTCTCCAGGGAAGGGGCTGAGGGCTACAGCTTCCAGGCTCTCCTGAAGGAAGAGGAGTTCTGCACAGCAGCTGTTCCACGGGGTGTGAGCCGAGCCCTTTTCCTTTGCTGGATGTTGTCAGCACATAACAAAGGCTGATCCATCCATTGCTCTCTGATTAAATCAGCTCACAAGAAATGACTGGCTGAAATCAGCATAAAAAACATGCTGGTAAGAAGAAAGAAAGTATTTGATTTTTTTTTTTTTAACTATAGCTCTTTCTCCTTGCAAACCACCCATCTGCATGACATGAGGTCAGTTCAGCCCCTGAACTACCCTTAGGTTTCAGCTGAGGTTTCATATCTTGCTGTGTGTGTTTGCTGTCTTACCAAAATTTCTGATTTACTGAGAGGTCCATGACAATTCTGGTTAGAATTTGCCATACAGATTCTTATTCTGCCAATTATTAATGCCAGTTATTAATCTCTCAGCTGGGTTAAAGTCTCAACGTTTACATAATGTCCCCTTGCCCAGGATACATTGCCACATCGCCATTTCTCTCCTCCTTTCTTTGCCACTCTACTTTGGCTTTGTATAGACATACAGAAATCAGCAAATTTAGGAAGTATACTGATGTAATTAACTGTAATCTGTTTAATTGACAAAAGACCTAAAATACATCCAGTTGCTGTTGGTGATGTTCACTCAGGTACAAGAGCAGTGTGCCTTTATTTAGGTTTGCTATTGCATTCTGAATAATAACCACCCTTTAAATTCCAAATTTCCTTGAAAATTCTTTCTCCTTTTATGTAGCTGTAGGCAAAAGAAAATTTCCAACAACCTGGGAAATGAGCTCTTTTTAAAGTTCTGTAACATGACTAAGCATTCCCTTGACATTTAGTCATGTGTATTTCTTTTTTGCTGCCTTTTAATATCTAAAGTACTGCCTTAGAAGCATAAATCTTACATGTTAGACATGTTATCTGACATACTGATTTGTAAAGATCAGTAGAAATAAATTTATTTCAGATTCCTTGAGATATGACAGTAAATTCTTTCCAAAGCTAATGTAGAACTGGAGCTTTTTGAAATGATGGTAGAATCGGCAGTGACTGCTGTGCAGAGCTGAAAATGGTAGGAATGGCATATGCTGTTTTTAATTTCCACTTGAATCTGTCACACTAAACCCTAAAGTAAACAAATTGAGCAACTAATGCACACAGAAATGCTATTGTTGGTTTTACTTGCAATATGTCCCCCTGCCCAAGGTTCTTCATGGAAATGTTTTCCTTCAATAGATCTTATCTGGTCTCCTGATGCCTCATGAATCCATGGTGTGTTGCAAACACAACTTCCAGTTTGCTTCTAATTGTGTGACGACTGTTGGGTTTTATGATGTCACTGGAGGCATAAATATTTATTTACTACAATCCTTATTTTTGCTTAACCTTACATGGCTTAGCTGCTTGCCCACAATTATTCCAAAACTGTGTATAACTGTTCAGTTTTTCTCCAAAATTAACCACAAAAAAAAAAGAAGAAAGAAAAGATTAATGGCATCAATGCCTATAATTTATTCCTTGAGTAGTAATAAGTACATGGAGTACTTTCCAGCCACGTGTGTTCATTGTTTCAGCTGATGTGATTTATATAGTGAAATATGAGTCTGGCTCATGTAATTGAATGCTGTGTCTTGGGCTGCAGGACAGTAAATGAGATTAAGCTGTATTATGTCTCTGAAGGCAGAATATCCAGTTGGTATCATGGGTGGGTTGTAACATTTCACTTCAGAAAAGAAGTTGCTTCAAAAGTAAACACTTTCTGACTAAACAAGAAGTAGGCTAATGTACGTTGGCAGGGTTTGTTATCATCAAATCTAATTAAATTATGATTCATATAATTGAGAGCTTGTATTTGCATTGGTGTCTGTTTTCCAAAGGACTGTTTTGAACATGCTTTCACGTCTGTTTTAAGGAATTAGAGTTAAATAAAACTTCGGAAGTAAAAACGGTTGTATTTTTACACATATGTAGGATTTTACATTCTGTTTCCATTTCCAGTTTGAAAACGTTTTTAAACATAAAGTATTGTCTTTGGGGAAGATCTATAGCAGGTAGGGTAGAAACAATTTCTGTATTATATGAAATAGTGAGTAGAATTTATGGGGTTATTAAGGCCTTGGTTTGGCAAAGGGCTGTGTAGTTGCATCATCCTGTACTCATTATCTTTTTCTGGCTCCTGACCTTGCTCTAAGAAATACCACACGTTTAGTTATCCTTTCACTCTTAACTGGTAATTTGATTTTCTTATTAGATTATTAAAAGGAAAAAGGCTTGAAGTTTCATACTAAATATTCTGTACTCTTATTGCAGCCCCAGCATATGATCGATACAGACACTCCAGTGTTTGCTCAGTGTTCAGTGCCAGCTCTTTATCACAAAGGGCTGCTATTGGATTCATACCCACAGTATTGCACACTTAGGATATTTTTTGTTGCTGTTTCTTCCATTTTTAATACATTCTAAACACTCCTTTTGAGAAGTGCTCAGCCTTTTGTCAGAAGAAATGCTTTGACTCTGCCCTGCTGCTGCCTGATACTGCACAGAGCAGGCAGTGGCAGGGAGTTTGTTGTTTTTGACAGCACCACTAAAAGCATGAAATGTTTCTGAAGGATTGGCAGAGCCTTGGAACAAGGGTTCAGGAAATGACTGGATTGGGTGTGGAAGAGAGACACTGTCCAGATTTAACACTCGGGCTACCGAAATACTTGAACCAGAGGACAGGAAATGGTATCATAGGATGGCCCCAAGTGCTGTACAGAACCCCATTGTTTGCACAGACTGGGATTGTTGTGCAGCTTAAACTGCTCAGAACTCACAGCCCTGCCATGGAAAGGTGACATGGCAGCCTCAGTGAGTAATAAAATGCTATTTATTATTGCATTACAGCCCAGACTTTACTTCCATTATAACAGTAGGATCTTTAAATGCTCTGGCATTTATGCTGAAAATGGGAGGTGCCATAACAAAGTTTCAGATACAATTTGGTGATACTTGTCCTCCCTAGCATATTTGCAAATCCATTTAATTTTTACCCTGTCCATTGTGTAGGATGTCAGTCAGTGTCTGCAGGCTGGCTGTAACTCATGCTGCACTCATTTATAATGGATAGGAATTGATGCATAACTCTGTTAACAAAACCATGATTTCTACGAAAACCATCTCCGTTTCAGGAACCTTAAGGGTAGCACAGAACTAAATTTCTCCTTTTGGCTTGTTGGTTTTTCCATGTGACCCAGCTGTGGAGAGTTTTCTCCTACCAGTCAAGAGTATATTTAGCTCTAGTGTGTATTCTCAGCTCCCTGCTTTTCAATCACTCCACCTAAATTTTATCACTAACCTAGAAGCATCCGAATAAATTCTACTGTTTTCTGCTGAGGAATGTAGATCCTTTAATCACAAAATGAATTTTTGCTGTGGTTTTTAATACAGAAGGAAGAATGCTGACATGAAAAAACTTTCTGCTGTATTCCTTCTTTCCCCCATAAGTTCTGAGTTAAAAGTCATATTCCCATACCTCCTATGCAAATGCTTCAGGAAAGTACTAAATTAGAATGACTCTTCCTTGCTCTGTTAACCTTGGAAAGCTCAAGGGACATGTCAGATCATCCATGTATGGTCAGGCTTTTGGCACAGTGGGAAATCCACAGAGTGAGTAAATCCAGAGGAGGCTTCCTCACAGCATCTTGGTGAATTCCCATCGAGGTTCTCAGTGTGCCCTGGCTGAGTATCTTGGTTATATCAGGCACCTCCACCAAGTTTTGTGCCCTTGCTGAGACATGTTGCTGTTCTTCTTTCTTGCTGTGCTTTCAAAGACATTAAAAATGTTGCTAAAGAAGGTAGAATGTGACACTGACAACTTTCTTATTTTAATTGCTTTTAGATTAATATGTATTTAATGCAATAAAATTGGATTGGGCATAGGGGCCTATTCAAATTAGAATAATAATGCAAAATTCATGCCAGCGTGGCGCTATGGGCGATTAGGAGAGAATTTCCCACACAGTGAACTTTGTCTCCTAGACTTTTCCCTGATTGTGCCTATAAAAGCTGCTTTCAGACCTGCAGTGTTAGTGCAAACAGAATCCTACTATGAATTGTGTTTATTTATACACACACACACAGGTTCTGTAGGGTGAACTATAGGGTTCCCTGTTGCAAAATTCTCCTTAACAACTTTTTTTCTGTTTGCAGCTGAATAAGGTTTGTGTATTTTGAGAATTGTTGCTATAAATATGATTCTGTGATTGGAATGTGGCTTTACAATTTTTTCTGAGAAATATATTTTGGTTCACATGATTGGTGCTTCTGTCAGGATGGGAAAATAGAATACTGGGCACTTGACTGATTTACTGCCTTGGTGCTGTTTTCTGGTCAGTTCTGAGTGTAAGCTGAGGCCTCTGCCTTGAGCATATTCAGCTTTTGGAGATTTCAGTGCTGAATCCTGGACCTCTAGGCTTTGACTTGTCCAATTCCACTTAGAATGAGTACCAGGAGTAAGATAGAGAAAGACTTGGTTAAATAAACCTATGGGCATAAATGATGTGTGTATCTGGAATGAATTTAAGGGGAAAGGATTTGTTCCCTTCATTGTTGCTAAATATAACAATCAGAGAGTAAATGTTGATACTGAAATTAGTCCTGCAGATCTGGGAGGTTTATGAAGAATAAATTTTAGAAACAGAGACTTTAAGAGCTGATCTTTTGTTCTCACAGGAACAATTCAGTGTAGTCCATGCTCTCTCTGTGGGGGTGGGGACTAAGTGAGGTGCAAAACCCTCACTTTTCTGCAGGCTCAGCCTGGAGGAGCTTCAAAGGGCAAACTAAACACAACGGATGTTATTAGAAATAGTTCTTAGGCAATTTGCTCTTCTCAGCGTTTAAGCTGCCACAGCGTGCCCTTGAAGTGATATTCCCTTTCCATATTGATCCTCTGGTCAGAGTGGTTTGTGTTTGTTCATTTGTTCAATACTCAGCCCCTTGTGGGACGTTCATTATCGGAAGATTTACAAAATTAATATTTCATAACTGGTACATGAGTGAGCACCAAAATTTTGTATTGTCCTTCTCCTCAGTCTTACAGTCCATTTGTTTGTCCTCTTTTCAGGAAATGGATTTGTGAATTCCCGAGCTTCACCAAGTCTACTTGGTACCAGTGGTGGTGGGAATGGCCTAGGCAAAGTCATGCCTACAAAGTCCCCACCTCCACCAGGAGGAGGAAACCTTGGCATGAACAACCGCAAACCCGACCTCCGTGTCGTCATCCCACCCTCCAGCAAGGGCATGATGCCACCACTGGTGAGTTAAAACATTTGCTCTGGGTCTGCCTGGAAATGGACTGTTGTGCCCACATGCACAGGGAGAATCTGTCTCACCTGCTTACCACAGGGTACAGGAATAGAGAGGTGTTTGTGTTCTGAAATGCCACTGATGAAAATCAAAAGTACAAGTTGCGGGGAGAAGTTCAGCTTGTAAGGAATTTTTCCAGCTGTGAAACAGCAGTCTGACCTAAACGTGGAAAGAGCACAGTCGTAGAGACAGGGCTGGGGACTTTGGTGGTGTGATGTGACATCCTCTGACTTGGTACTGAGAACTCCGGTGGTTTGGAGGATGTGGCTTTTAAAAAGGGTTATCCATTATTCTGTGGAGGAATAGCTGATCTTATTGGTGATGTGAGCTCTATTAACGTGCCCTAAAGCACATTTTGTACCTGTTTTTCCTGGCTCATAATGGCTGTGGGATGTGAAGTGCAGGTTCTGTGGTGAGGAAGGGCTGAGAGCAGCACTGGTCTGATGTGGCAGCGTGGAACGTGACCTTGGCTGTCCTGTGGGGCCATCAAAGAGCTCAGGGGTGCTCTGCAGTGCTGCTCTGCACTTTGGCATCTGGGCACCAGGGTTTGTCCAGCCAGCCTGGGAATAGCACACGAGTTTCGTGTCAGCCATGAGGCAACCACGGCCTCGAGCCCAGAACAGGTCTTGCAGGAAGTGTTGCTCTGCTTTTCCTTTAATCTACTTGGCCAAATCCTTTGGTCTTAGTCTTTTGCTGCCATGTAGAAATTTTCAATGTCTCTGTGGATGTTTTCTGTGTATGGAAGAATGGGCCATAACTAGGAGGAGCAGGATATAAACAACACAAGTACTCTCTGTATAATTCCTATTTGTTTTTAAGCTACCATAAGTGCTTACATTTGTTACTGGTACTCATGATGAATAATACCAAATTAATCCAAGTAAGAAAAGCTATAATTAGCCTCAGAGTAATGATTCTTGAAAAAAAAAAAAAAGGGGTTTTCTAGGAATACTGAAGTGTAGGAGAGATAGGAAGTACACTGGCTGATCATTACAGTGACAATTACACTTCTAATTAGAAATAGAAGCAATAATGCAGTTCTGGTACTAGTGATGCACAGCACCTATTTATTTTATTCTGTGAAGAACAACATCATATTCAGCTTTGTGTTTGTCTGTGTTTTGGGGGGAATTAGAAGATTTCAGAGTAGATGCTGGCATGGAATGATGGTTGTGTGTGAAAGTGTTTTGTTGCTGAGCTGGTTTATTGGATCTGTGCAGCCAGAGACTGCCATGCTGCACATCCACAAGTGCAGCCCTGTCCTCGGGGTCACCAAGCTCTTGCTGCACCAATTTCCCCAAAGCCAGTGTTCTCTCAGTACAGCAGGTTTTATGTGACACCAATTTCATGAAGTATTACATTTCTAGCAGTATTATCTGCAGAATCAGGTGGCAAATCCACATTATTAATTAAAACGAATCAAAATCCTGAAGCACAAACGTGACTTTTTCTTTCATTTGAAAGCAATGCTATTTTTAGTAACTGTGTTATCCCTCTTGTTTGCTGAGTACAGTCGGAGGAGGATGAATTGGAGTTGGTGAGTTTGGGCTGCTGTTTGCTGAGAGACAGCAAGATGCTGGAAATGTCTTTCACTACAGCTTTTTAACTGTAGTTTCATTACATATTTTAAATAATTCCAGTGTTCCCTTGGTAGCAGACAAAAATATATGTGTTTTATCAAACTCAAAACCTGACCAATTCAAGTTGAAAACACATCTAAAGTCAGCGCTTGCCATTTGTAAACTTCTATTTTTTTTTCCTGAAAATGTTTCTGTTTTTCTTGGAGGGAACATTGGAAAAGAGCCTTACAAAGTAACTGTCCATGTGTATAGGATTTGTACTGCCTTCTATAAGAAATACGAATAATCCCTTCCCATCCCTTAAATTATTGGAATATTTTTAGAAAGTGTCTTCACTTGTGAAGTTCTTCAGATTGTAACACCAGCCCTGTGTTACTTCTCTTCCTTTCAAGGAGATGACATCATTGCTGGTGAGGTCACCTTTTTGGAGGTTAGAATTATTTCATCCTGCGTGAGATTATCAAACCACAGGGGTGTTCCCTGTTTACCAAAAGGAATAGAGGATTGCAAATGAATAATTCTACCTTCTTTTTCCAGTGGAAAGATATTCTGCTTTTAAAAGGAAACTCTTTGGATTTGTGTGTTTTCTATTTTTTTTTCCCCAAAGGTTTTAACATTTGGCATTCTGTCTGGAAAATTAACATAAGGCTAAAATAATTCGTAACTTATTTTTAGAGCAAATTTCAAATTGTTTGGCTCCTGTGGCACAAACCAGGCAGAAGATGCTGTGTCAGAATCACAGAGAAATAAATCGACCTACTGCAGACCTTGACTTGTTGTTGAACATGGACCTGTTGCTAATATGAGGCTCTAATTGCATGAAAGCATGGAAAATGTAGTGATTTAGATAAATTTCTTCATGAATGCATGCTGCTGGTTGATTTTTACCTTAAACACGATAAATAGATACAAAAAGTAAGGGAAGATGGTTTTTGAAATTCAGTATCGAAGTTTTTAAGCATTATTGGGATGTCTTGCTCATCGAGCAGTTAAAGAGCTCTCCCACTTTCCTCTCGCCTTCAGAGAGGAGTGTCTGGTTTTCAGTGCAAGAAGGAAATGTCAGTGTGACAGCAATCATTGAATGAGGTGTCGCAGGAATTGGAGCTGAATTCCTTGGCCGGGGGATTCCCGCGCCCCGCGCCCCGCGGGGTGGGCGATGGAGCCGCGCGGGGTCCGCGTGCCGCGGGCGCCACCTGGCGGCTCCTGAAGCTGCGAGCAGCTCTGGCCGGAGCGCGCACAAAGGAACGGGGCAGGGTCTGCCTCCAGCGGGCCCGGGAAACGCAGGCTACACCTGCGCGCTCCTGGATGATGCTCACGGCTGTGCTGGGAATCAGCTCCAAAGCCCAGCTGGGAACACTCGCTTTGTGTGCTTGGAGCTGAGCACTCAACGTGAAAAGCACCTACCAACGGTAGTGGAGCATGAAATAAAGATTCTGAATTCTTCCTGCTACATTTGCACCAGTTAAAAAGATTAAAAAAAGAGATCTTGAAATTTCTCATGAATCTCCAAGGACAACAACTACTGGGCTCATCTAAATATTACTTAGTGTTTTTGTGTGGCCGAGTTATATTCAGAAAGATTTTTATATATTTTATATATGAAAGTTATATTTAGAAAGATATTTCTGATTTATATTCAGAAAGAATTTACCTCAGAAAACCACCTTTATTAGCCACTCAAAAAAAAAAAAAAATCCCGTAAGGAAATCCTTTGGTCTGGATTGTTTCCCAGTATATTCCTCTTTACTTTTCCATTATGCAGTAATCCCAACTTTATAGGCAGCCATCCAAGAAAGCTTTGGAGAAAGGTCAATTCTTGACAGACACAAAAATCTGCTCTAATAACATCTCTTTATGCCAGATAAACTTGGTCTAGGGGAGATTTTCAGAAGTACGTAAGTGATTTAAAGGGATCAATTACAGAAAATCAGAGGGACTTTCTCTGGGAATTGGAGCTTAGAAACCTGGGAGTTCTGAAGCAGAGAGGGCACATCTGCCAATCTCTGTGTTTGGTAACAAATGTTAAAGGGCCCCCAGATCCTAGGGAGGCTCAAAGGTGGGAATTCCAGAGCAGCCAGACACAAGAGAGATCAGGAGCTGGCAGCCAGTGACAGCTGTGGCTAATTTTAATATGGGAGCTGTGATATATATTTCTTTCTTTAAATTGGAAAGATACAAGATTGATAACCCTCAATTCATCTTCATAAATTTAAGCTTAAAATTGACTACAGCCCCATTTCTGTACCTGCTCATTCTGATATTTTTAAGGGAATTATGCATTTTTAATGCAGCTCGTTCACTCAAGATTAGAGTGGAGAAAAAAAGTTAAGTGCTGCAGATCCTGAAATACCTTTGTCTGAAATAAAGGAAAGGAGTAGTAACTTCAGTCTTGTAAAGTTATGAAATGGATCCCTACCAAGGAGATGAGAAACTGCTCCTTTTGTAGCAAATATATTTTCAGAGATAGAGATAAGTTTGCTTTAAAAAAACATTATTTCCAGCAGATTGAAACCCAGCTCCTTGTAGAAATACAGGGTGTAGAGACTGCTGCTATTTCTAAGAATTCTGCGGATAAAAGTAAATATCTTGAAAAATAAAACCTTAGCATTTTCTGTTCTTGACAGTATTTGTCATGGCCAAATGGTGTTGAACCTCATATTTTCCATGAAGATTTGCAGTTGCCACCATGGAGAGCAGAACATTCTGTGGTAGCAGCTTTGCTGTCTGGTGCTGTTTACCACAGTGTTTAATTAATTTTCTAACCAGCAAATTTGGTTAGAGCTTATTCTGAGTGATATGTTTGCTGCAGATGTTCATTTCAGTATATGGGAAAGAAAGACTGTTCTAGGCTGTTATTAAAAAGCCAAATATTGCCCACAGTTAAATCATCTGAGACAATCTAGTTTAGCTATTTTCCCTGTAAGAAAAGCACCATTGCTCTTTGTGAACTCCAGTGTCATTTGCTTGGAAACATATCTGCATTATAACAAGTATTCTCTCAGCTTCTCAGGAACCATGGGAACAGCAAGATTATTTTATCACTGAAGTCTTATCAACACAAATTTAGAAGATCTCTGTGTTCCTTTCAGGACAGGTGTAGTCAGTACAGTGTCAAAACTGGCAGCTGAAATTTGGAAAATTGGATAAACAACTGTGAAGTGGGAGAATCTCTTCTGATGGAAATGCACCTCACCATCTGTACTAAAACCTCTTTAAAAATAAGACTCAAAACTCTTAAATCACTTAAGAACTTCTGAGAATTGTTGTGTGTATCCCTAAGAAATTGCATTTATTTTTGTGTGTCCTACAGCGCTAACACTGTTGAAATGTGCATGCTTGGGAAGTGGCCCAGTGAGCCTTCAATTAATTTTTCATTTCAGTTTGCCAAGATTGTTTTGGTTGTCTTGAAATATCTTAGCTTTTTTAGAAAACCAATCCTGACAAAGAGGATGTGTTCCTAACTCAAAGATCCAGCAGAGCAGCAGGCTGGAATGCAATGCCCTGTCACACTGGCACTGCATTTCCCCTTGTTCTCCCTGGTCTCTGAGGTTTGTTGTTTCCATCCCTTGCAGAACACCCAAAGGATAAGCAGTTCTCAGTCCACGCAGCCCCTGGCCACCCCCGTGGTGTCGGTGACGACTCCGAGCCTGCCCCCGCAGGGACTCGTGTACTCGGCCATGCCCACTGCCTACAACACTGGTAAGCCCTGCTGGGGAGTCAGGAGCCCAGGAAATTCACATTTCTGTGACACCTGACTTGGTTTTCCTCTTCAGTTCAAATGAAGGCTCCTACTCATCAAAACTGAGCCTGTAGCAATCCCACCAGGAACTGGAGTGCCTCAGGTTTAGGTAATAGCTGATCCTTCAGTACTGCTGTTCTTCAGATACTTTTATTGTCTGCAGTACCTTAAAACTACTTTTATCCAAGCTGGGTGTGATGTAAGGCATTTGGTAATGTAAAAGTGGTGAGTGGTTTGCTGGTTGGGAAAGTAGTTCATGAAATTCAAATAATAAGTGATGGAACATGAGGCAACGGCAGCCTCAAGTTGCACAAGGAGAGGTTTAGGTTGGATACTGGGGAAAATTTCTTCATCAAAAGGGTTGTCCAACATCCACCAGGGCAGTGGTGGAATCCCCCTGGGATTTTACACGTTTTCTCCACTCTTAGTTTTGAAAGTCTTCACTGCAGTTTTTGGTTTAGCCAGCCAAGCACCTCACATCCTCTTGTATCTTTTTCTGTTAATGAGCTCATTAGCTGGCAGTGCCCCGAGCCCTCCTCTGTGGCCTGGGCAGTGCCACAGCCAGGAGGGTGCAGGGAGAGGGGATTGTGCACCCACCAGCCAGGGCTGTCCTGGGAGAGGGGCTGTGCTCTCCTCACTCCCCTCAGCCAGGGCTGCATTTATCCTGCAAATGCAAACACAGCTGGGCTGAGGGGATGGAGGCTGGAGCAGGGAGTGCAGGAGCAGTGCCATGGGTAGAGCAGGGATTGCTTTGGGTGATCAGCTGAGTGGAGTAGCTGGACCTGCAGACCTTGCTTTGACTCGTGCCCCAGAGGGGCTTCAGCTCTCGTGTCGTGGCTGTTCAGAGCAAACCCTTCTGGTCCCTGCTCAGAGGAGCCACACTGAGTTTCACCTGTCACATCCCTCCTGCCCAGTTTCACCTGTCACATCCCTCCTGCCCAGCTGGATGCTGTTTCAGGGGGCAGTGCTGGGTGCATCCCTCAGTCACAATAAGCTGTGAGCTGGTGGCTGAGACAGCCAAAAGCTGAGAGGGGCTGGAATCTCAGGAAGCAGCAAAAGGCAAATGGGAACTGATGTCCTACGTAATGGACAGTGCTGGTACCACTGGGGTGTGATTTTAAACTGCAGCCCATTTCCTTTGATAATGCAAATAATTTGTGCAAAGCTTTTAGCCTTTAGTGGTTTTCACACACTCTAGAATTGTTTCTATTAGACTGAACCTTTCAGGGGATTTGCAGGAAGAAATTTGATATTGAAACCAAATTGTCTCCTGGGGATTCTCAGGGTAGTCACCACTTACAGCACAATTTCAGTTTTGCAGTTCAAGGACTAAGATAAAATTTAAATACCTTAATTGTTTTTCTGGATTGATAGGGTTGGTTTTTTCCAGGACTGGAAGGGATAGCTTCAGCTCTTGGATCCTTAATTAAAACATTGGATATCAGTTTTCCACAAATACCCTATTTTATATAATCTATTTTGATATTTTGTAGATTGTTGGAAGAAGGGCAGAACCAACTGAATTACTGGCTCTAAAACAGTCCAGGCATTAAAAAAAATATTAAAACCCCCTGCAATCAGTTAATTAGTAATTGACACTTGAGCAGAGCACACCAAGCCATAAATAAATCCCTGGCTTCAGGTCAGTTGTTTTGCAGAGGTACAAACTTGCCAGTGCTGCTTGTGGGGTCACAGCAGTGACAGTTTCTGTGGTGCAGAAAATGCTCTTGTGTGTTCATCTCACATCAGGTCACTCCTGCAGCAGGGGTGTCCTCCTGTCACTTCCAGGAGATACGTGATTATTTAGGGAATTAATAATGCAGTTAATTGTGTAGTGACATACGTGCTCTTTGGTAAAATACCTCCTCAAAGCCCTGTCACCAGACACGTTCTGTCTGAAGTGTCAGAAGTTAATTGTCCATGGTCATAAAAGTTTTAATTGCAGTGGAAAAAAATTACATGGGAACTGAATTCCTATAAGTGTTTCCTTCAGGTCTGCTCTGACAAATCCCATCAGCCCAGCACATCCATCTCCAGGTGTACAGGGGCTGCACTGGGCAGGTGTCACAGGCCTGGCTGCTTTGAAGGCTCACGGCATGTCTGGGTCACGGCAGGGGCTGCACAGTTTTTATTTTTTAAATTCAATTTTAGTCTTGCAAAAGGGGCTTTTTGGTCAATCATCCTGGGACAAACCTTTCTGAAGCTGTGCAGAAATACACGTGAGGGTTTTCAGTTTCAGTAGAAGTGACAGCTGAGACGAAATGATACAAAAAGGAAAAGGCAGCCCAAGAATCTTCACCTGCTGGGAGCAGCTGGGACTCCTGAGGCCTTCAGGAAGGTTCTTGCAGGGATGTGTGGGGGTCTCAGACACCACAGGGCCCTCCTGGCCTGGATTCTCCTCCCAGGATGAGCTGTTCTGGGGAGATACAGAATTTATCCACTGAAAACAGATCTGTGGATGGGAGGGGGAGATTGTTCAAGAAGGCTCATCTCAGGAGAGAGAGGGAGATTGTATTGGTGGTGGCATTTTAGGACATTACTATAAAAAAACCCCAAACCCCTCAAACACGAAGCCAAACCCAGCTTAAGTGGAACGTTTGGTTCCTCTGATGGCAGTACAGCCTGAGTTTGGCTGCTCACATTTTGTCCCATTCTCAAGAGACTAAAAATTATTTTAAGGAAGCTTTAATAGAAAATAATTAAAAGTAGAGAAGAGTTTGACTTTGTTTTCAAACCTGAAAGAAAACATGAGTGATAATGATCAAGTGCAGACAACTTCAGTTCTGTGAATGAAGTGAGAAGTGAGGGTGCCCTGCAGCAGCCAGAGCCACCGGCTGGCTGGGGTTGGAATAGATCGAGCCCTCGGAGCTCCATTCAGGTTAAATTTCTAAAAAAATGGTGTTTTCTTGCTCCACACAAAGTGGTTTCTTTTGTTCCTGTGACACAGAGATGACAGTTTAATCGGACACTGAGCAGTGATACTGTGGACAGGGGGAGGATGAGATGTGCTACAGTAGGGCTGCACTGAGAGGTCCCTGGGGTTTGGGTACCCAGTCCCTGTGCCTGCCTGGGCAGCCAGTGCTGTTCAGGGCTTGGCTTTGGATGGAGGTTGTAGGACCAGGAGCTCTGTGGCATCGTGATCCCCCGAAATGGTACCTGTGTCTTATTTGAGGAGCTGCTACCTCCTACCTGGGACCTGAACCACAGCCCAGGTGTCTGCAGTGAATTCAGGGCAAGATCCACCATCCCTGCCTAGAGACTCACATGGATTCTTCCCTTTTTGCTTCATTTTGAAATGACTTCAGAAGTGCCAGGTCTTACTGTAAGGTGCACACCTCTGTACATGCACTGCATTCACGTGTTGTACCTGTGGGTTTGGAACAAGCTCCCAGACAGCAGGAACTGAAAGCAGAATGGAAAAAAATAATTTCATTTGGAGGCCTCTGTACTGTTAAGTTCCCTGTAAGCTTGGCAGGATTGTTCCCGGAGTTCAGAGTTTTCATGTTTGGATTCCTTTGGATCAGCTGCCTTTGTATTTGTGTTTATTTATATATGTATGTTTTATATATATACCCCCCCCACATTACTTTGTTGTTTATTTGTTTTTCCCTCTTAGATTACTCCTTGACTAGCGCAGACCTGTCTGCCCTGCAGGGATTTAACTCCCCAGGAATGCTGTCCCTGGGGCAGGTGTCTGCCTGGCAGCAGCACCACCTCGGTCCCGCAGCCCTCAGCTCTCTTGTGTAAGTACCCAGGGTACCAGGGCAGGGCAGCACTGGGGGCTTCTGCCTCTTCTGCTGCATCAGCTGCACCAGGGGAATATTCAGCACGTTTTAACCTCTGTGCTGCAGAACTTGGTGTGTCGCGGTGTTTGTCCCTTCGGTCACCTCCGGCCTCCAGCTAATGAGCCGTGTCCCTGCAGGCTCAGCTTCTCACCAAGGAGGCGCCTGTGTGGTGACTGAAATGTTTGGCAATAGAAAATACTCCTTTGTTCTGAACTTCTGTAAATGCATCTCAGACCTTTAATTAATGCTTTTTTCACCTTTGCTCTTCCCGGTGAGGTGCATTTATTCCTGTGCTGAGCCCCAAGGCCTCACTGTTACAGACACGTGAATTGTCACTTGATTTTCACTTTCTGCATTTTCTTATTTGCACCTTTCGGTTTTCTCTCCCCAGCACTGGCAGCCAGCTATCTCAGGGTTCAAATCTCTCCATTAACACCAACCAAAACATCAACATCAAATCGGAACCCATCTCCCCTCCCCGGGACCGCGTCACCCCGTCCGGGTTCCCGCCGCAGCAGCCGCAGCCGCCGCCGCCGCCGTCGCGCCAGGAGCTGGGGCGCTCCCCGGTCGACAGCCTGAGCAGCTCCAGCAGCTCCTACGACGGCAGCGACCGCGAGGACCCGCGCAGCGACTTCCACTCGCCCGTCGTGCTGGGCCGGCCGCCCAACGCAGAGGATCGGGAGAGCCCCTCGGTAAAACGAATGAGGATGGACACGTGGGTGACATAAACCCGCCGTGTCGCCCCTCCCGTTTTGTGTTCTCAAAATGAACTGTCCTGACATATCGAAATTTATAAATAAGGACATGAATAAGTATATTTATATGTATATACATACGTGCATATATATATCTTCACATGCATATATATGTGCTAGTGTGTGTAGCATACACCAATCATCAGGCACTTACGACAAACTCTTGTATAGCTGCAGATGTCCCTTGGTAAAAGTAACAGAACAATCCCGTAGGTTTGATCTCTAGTCTGGCACTTACCTGGACTCGTGTGTAACCCCGGCCCGGCCCGCGCACAGCGGTGTCCCCGCAGTGTCTCCTCCTCCTCCACACCCACCCGAGCGAGGGCTCGCCTCTAGTACCGTCCCTGTGTGTAGTCAGCTCTATGGTTACTCGTAGTTAAGAAATAATTGCTTTGTAGCAGCAGAGCAGTAGAAAAGCAGGAAGAAGAAAGCAATACTGTACATAAACTGACCTTTCTATTACCCAACCTGGCATGGGTCTCTATTGCAGAGGGTGCATGGAGAAGGGCTGATGCTATAAGAAATTAAAAAAAAAAAAACACAAAAACCCTGTTTTGCACGTGCAAAAAAAAAAAAATAGCGTATTGGGTCAAAGAAGTGATTTTTTTAATGAGTGAAAGAGAGACATAGAGAACTCGCATGAAATATTCAGAAAATATTAGCCTAGAAAATAGAACATTAACAAAATAAAATTAATATATTAAGTTATAATTGGAATATGTTTGACAAATTTGTTTTTACGTTCATACCTTTGAAAAATATAGAAACTGATTTTAGCTCATGTATATTTTATATTAAAGAAAACAATACCCTAATGAATTGAAGACTATATATAAAGTTATATACAGTACTTTTGAACACATTCTGCTATGAATTATTTATATAAGCCAAAGCTGTATGTTGTAGCTTTTTTGTAGAAGTATAGTTTTATCTTATTTTGACTTTCTAGTTTTTGCTTTCAAAGATGAAAAGGAAAAACTTGCAGGCGGAACCTTGGGGGAAAAATAAGCCATGAACACTTATATGTAAATTTAAATTTGAGCCAAACTCTTTGTGTATATAGCATCCTAAATATATTATCACCTTTGGTGTAAGTACCTATGTATTGTACGGTCACCAGATTAAAAAGTATATTTTTGTGGATTGACGCCAACTTGAAACAAGGCGAGGTCCTTATTAAGTAGAGTATTCACTGTTTAATATTTACTATTTTGTTAAATATACTGTACTTTCTTTGGATTTTAATTATTATTAATATTATTATCCAGATTTTTCAGAGGGTGTATAAAGGGGTTGGCCCCCTCACTGGTGGTGAATGTGTGCCGTTCAATTGTAATCTCTGTGCTGTATGGTTAAGCTTCATTATACATTTTATATATATGTATATAAATAGCAAAGTGGCAAAAAAAAATCCGGTGTTAAGTTCATCCTGCATAAATATAAAAAATCTGTTACAACACATTTTAAGGCATCATTTTAAAGCTGCCTCTTCCGAGGAGGAAAAAAAAACCAGTGGAAAAACTTGACCTAATTTCTCATGATAGGGAAATGACACATATCAGATGAGCACAAAAGGTTTTGTGAGTTGGCAAGTGGTTTGGGAAAAATTTGCTGCTTCCAAGAAAGAGCGGGAGGAATGCAGAGCCCCTTGTGCCGCGAGACTGGGCTGGGAGCAGGGCAGGCTTGGTTTGGATGCGGGGCCGTGATCCCGCCGGTGCTCCCGGTCACCTCCAGGCTGGCACTGCTGGTTCTGGTGGGATTGCCCAAACTCTTCAGAGTTAGCCCTGATATTTATTACAGTTTTTGCTTGGACTTTTTTTTTTTTGTTGTTTTTTGCAGTTAAGAAAACCCCTCGTTGCTGTAAGGGAGGGGTGAGAAGGGCAGTGTCCCTGAGGTACCTGTGCCCTCCAGCCCTGTCTCGTTGTCCTGGCAAGGTCAAAACCTACAGGGGCTCCAGTGCCCTCCAGCCCTGCCCTTGGAACTGCTTCCCATTTCCGTGGGTCCATCCTGGCTGGCAGGAGCATGGAGGCAGAAGGGACAGGTTCCCATGGCCCCCAGTGACCCAATTCACTTGCTGCTCCCTGGAACCTTTTGCTGCTCTGACCAGTGATGTGAGTTCCATGATTTATGCACCTGTATGAACTTTGCTGTACATCCGAATGGGAGTTCTGCATTCACATTTACTGTCTATTTTCTTGTGTGCCTTATCAGATGGCTTTGCTGACTGTATCTCAATAGTCTTTATTTCTATGCAGGTTTTTAAACAGTACTTAACTACTGTTTTCTTAAAGACAAAGCTACACAAGGGTTAGAGTTTGTATTGAAATTGCACCAATGAATTAAAAAAAAAATAATAAAAAGAATCAGTTCTAAAGAGCTGGGCTGGGGAGCAGCCCTGTGCTGCCCCAGCCCCTGCAGAAACGTCCTTCCACAGCCCTCCGGTCTGGGGGAGCACCTCCTGCCACCGAGGACATGGGAATCCTGGTTTTTAATAACAAGTAACTCACTTTGAAACATACTTTTTTAGAAATTGTAAAAATGTTTTATAAAAAAAAAAGATGACATAGCACAGATATTTCAACAGGTTTAAAAAAAAAACTTTTTAAAATTATTTCTGCTGACTGAAGTGCAAGTGGATCCAATCCTGGGCTGAACCCAGTCAGGTCTGAATGATTTAAGATTTTTATCTCTGTTGTGACAAATCACCTCCATCCTCGAGCTCTCACGATAGTTTTGAGAACGCCACGTTGTCAGGGACTCGTCAGAGAGAACTGCTTTAGCCTTGCCTTCCCTCCAAGGACACTAATGCATCAGAAACTTGCGAGTTACTGTGCGCACAAGAAATACATAGTAAATAAGGAACAAAACAACTCCTAACAATTGATCCTGGGCAGAAGTTAAATCCGAATGTGAAAGAAAGACTTAACCAATGTAAACATTTAAATCTTAGTAGAACCTTTCTTCACTTTGCTGTGCAAGAGAACACTGCTTTGCTATATTTAAAATGGCTTTTTTAAAAGAGATTTATGTATTTGGTAAATGTTTGTAGTCAACAGTTCACAAGAAGCTGTTCACGGTTTAATGCTGATAAGCCGTTTGGCGGCACAAGCTGGACTTTGTTGCCATCCTTGAGACGAATCTTTTAAGAAAAAAAAATAAGTTAATCTCAATTTTTTTCCCTGAATGTGTTGTTTTTTCTTCAATATACAATAAATATTCTAGTGAACTTTTTATCAAATGGTTAAGAAAATGCTAGAGGTTGTTGTAAAATATTTGTATCCTGCATTCACTAAAGTAAAGATACTGGCTTTTACTGTGTACTCCGGCCTCTCTCGTGTTTGCAGAGCCCGTCTGGCGCGTCCTTGCCCCCTCCAGGTGTCAGTCCAGGTGCGAGGTGTTGGTTTTTAACTGCAGCCACGAGCATTTTCATCAACAGGAACACTGATGTCTGCTAAGAACCTTTCTACAGAACTGGCAGATGAAGCAGGGTCCATTCAGAGAGGAGAGCCCAAGGCCAGTCCTGCCTCTGCAGCCCCCGTTCCTCCTGCTGCTCCCACTTCTGCTCACTGCAGGGGCTGGGGCTGCAAGGGGCCCCTCTTTCTAAGGCAGGTGCTCAGCTGTGTGGTAGCAAATAAAGCACAAGCTGTGCCCCCGTGCTTTTATTTCATGTGACTTTATTTAAAAATATAAGAACCCCTTCCCGCCCCCTCCCCAGAACAAAGAGATACAGCTCTTCACAGAAGAAAAATACAAGTTTTTGTTCCAGTATAAGATATTTGGAGTGCTTGTTTACAAAATTAGGTTCCCACTTTGGAGAGCTGAAGGGAACAGAGGTTCTCATTTTAACAGCACAGGCTTGTGCTTGTGTGGTGTGGGGTCCTCACCTTGCTGGAGAAGCTTCAGTCCTCCCTGGCCAGGCAGAGCAGTCCTTGAGGCCAGGCTGAGGCCACACCTGTACAACAGGTGTCTGTAGCACAGCTCCTCTCCAGCCTCTGCTCTGCCCAGCCGGCCTCTGGCTGCCAGGGGAAACTGGACAAGCCCTGTGGTCCTGCTGGCAGCTGGGAAGCTGCAAATGGGACTGGGCCGAGGTGGGCAGGACAAACAGTGGCTTCCTCCACCAGCTCTGCCCTCACCCTCAGCACCAACGGCACCTGCCCACACAAAATACCTTAGTGTTTGGTTCCAGGAAAGCCTTTACCTCTGCCCACAGGCCTGGAATTTGCTGAATCAAATTTCTGAGGCAAATTCTTCTCTTTAGCAAAGCTCCCAAGACTTCCCTTGCTGCTCCTTTGCAGCAGTTAGTGTTTCCTGAGTGGCCCTGAAGAGCAGAGCCCTGGGGCTGGACTGACTCTTCCACTCCCCTGTGGAGCTTTTCAATGCACTTGATCAGTTCACAGAAACCCGTCACAATCAGCAGCTTCACAGTCCTCTGGCTTCACCCTTCTTTCTTCTTGGATTTCTGTCCTGGACCTTGCTACTTGCACCCAGCTCAGCACTTCACCCTCACTCAGACTGCACACAAGGAAGTGATTCCATGACTGAGCCCGGGTGTCTGAGAAGCACCACTATAGACTATTACGAGATTTTTAGCAAATAATACTGACTAGATGTCTTGCGAGCAAACGAGACCTTGAGAAGTGCCTGTGACTCCTCTCTTGTGCTCTCCTGTCCCCTCCCAACAGCCCCTGCCCACCTGGGGCCATGCAGGGCTGAGCAGTACCCTGGGACAGCACAGATCCTGCACTGAGATCTCTGCTCTCAGGAGCCGTATCTAAAGGATTTCACTGAGGGGAAGAGGTCTGGGCTCACCCTTCCCAGGGGTGGGCCTGATGCATCCTAATGAACACAGCTCAAAGGTTTTCTCGGGGGAATGACAGTGTGGGGTGCTGGCAGCATCCTCGTGCCCTGGCACACCCAGCTTAGAGCCCCAGAAGGCATCGTTAGGGTCAAGCAGGCCAAAATCACCATGGCCTGCAAGAGACAAAATGACACTTCTGAGAAAAAGCGTCCCCTACTTCTACACCCAGGAAAAGGTGTTCCCTTAAAATGCACACAACCCCCAACACTCTAACCACAATACTGCACTCTCTAGCTCAGCAGCAAAGAACTTGCTTCTAGACATGGCATTAAGAAATACCTGAAGCAACCACAATGAGTAAATTGCTACAAAATACTTTCCCTCAACGGAGTTCTCAACTCTGAAGCCACCTGGGTGATGATCTCTGTAAGTAACAAAGCATCCTTATTTTTCTGTCAAAATCACATCACCTAATTTTCAGTCAAATTCAGGATTACATCATCAGCTACTTATAAAAATAAAAATAATCTGTATTGTTATATCCCCTTGGATGCACTTGAGTCAGTCACAAGCATAGGGGCATCGCTGCTGGACAGGCTGGAGCGGGCTGCCACTTCCCCTTAGGATTTTTTTCCTACGTCTGAGCCTTGCGTTAATTTCCCTTCCAATGCAGCTGTTGAAACATTTGGGGTTGTTATGTTAAAGGCGTGGGCCACCAGGCCTTGTGTTTTAAAATAAATGATATAAAACACCGGCAGGACAATTCCTATCAGGAGCATAATGAACACGGCGTTCCACCACTGGATTCCGCAGTCCGCACCGTTACCACTGTCCCGCCTCCCTGCCTCGGGCACGGGCCTCTCCAGCGCCTCCCCGCCGTACTCCGCGTTCAGCTGCACCTCCACCTGCACGGCGTCCTGGATGCTCTGGTCGATGCCCCTGAAGTACTCGCTGAGGCGCCGGCCGCCAGCGGAGCCGCCCGCGCCGGGCTCGGGCTCGGGATCCGGCGGCTCCACGCGGGTCAGGCCGGGCTGGGCGGGCCCCGCCGGCGGCGGCCGCAGGGCCCCGGCGCTCTCGGTGAGCAGCCCGTGCGGCCGCACCGGGATCTTGATGGACTTCAGCGCGTACAGGTCCTGCTCCCGGATGAAATTGTTGACGCGTTTGATATCTGCAACCTACGGGATCCAGAAAGGACACAAACAGTGAGGGCAGGACTACCCAGAAGTGAGGCAGGAAGCAGCTACAAAATCAGTGTGCAAGGAGCCGTCAGGGAATAAAAGCAGGCCCTGGATGCAAGCGGTTTGGTGTTCTGCAGAGATTCCCCAGCAGTTCCAGGGGTGCTCCAGGTCTGCAGGATAGAGGCAGTCCCCTGTTTAACCAGTCTTACAACCTCCTCTCGTGCTCCTGTACCTGCTGCCATTTGCTTCCTACTGCTTTTCCTTCCCCTTGCTGTCTTTGCCTTTCTCTCACTTAGTTAAGAAGAATCTTTTTAACAGATCCTTTAAAAACTGCTTTCATACCTTACACATGAGTGCTTAAGGTGATACGACAACATCAGTGTGAGCATCTCCTGCTCAGGAAATTCCTTCAGAGTGATCAGCTCCATTTTGGGAGCACACCAGTTTTGAAAGCAAGGGCACAGCCTGGAGAGCAGACGAGCATCTCCCGCACAGGCACGAACATAATCTGCTCAAGCAGCACGTCTCTTCTGCAGGACAGCAGCTCATCCAGCTCACTCCTCCTGAGCTGCTCAGTGTTCCTGCTGGACAATCACCTCTGTGCCCCTGTCTCCACCTCTGGTGGTTCCTGTCTGTGAGCTGTATCCCCACCCAGCAGCAGGAAGAGCAAGGAAGAAGCAGCCACATGTGCAGCATGAGACACAGGGACGGGCAGTACCAACGCAAAGACAAAGGCAAGGCAGCATTCCCTTATTCAACATTAAATAAGAGAAGATGCTCAATCCAGTGGCCACTCACAGCCACTCAGTAAGCACAGCAACTTCTCAGTTGCACTAAACCCTCTGTCAAAGAAAAGGAACAGGATGTCAGTGTGTGCCAGCAGCTCTCCGCTGCAGCCGAGGAGATGTGAAAGAACCTTCAGGAAAAGGCTGGAAGGCACAAAACAAAACAGTGAGAGCCAAACCAAAGAGAAAGGCAACACAAACAGGTAAACCACCTCTCATACATCACAGCAAAGAGACACAGTACAGACACTGTGCTTTGCTCTTCAGAAATTACAGCATGACCTGCATTCACTGCACACTCACACGCTTGAGGCTGCCAAGGAAACTGGGGAGCCAAAAAAAAAAAAAAACCAAAAAACACTTTACTTCCTAAGCA